AATTAAACAAACTTTAATTAAATTGCATTACTATTACTAATACTATATAGGATTGCAATTCATTTGAGTTCAATTAAACAAACTTTAATAAAATTGCATTACTATATAGGATTGCAATCATGATTCATTTGAGTTCAATTAATCAAACTTTAATTAAATTGCATTACTATATAGGATTGCAATTCATTTGAGTTCAATTAAACAAACTTTAATTAAATTGCATTACTATATAGGATTGCAATTCATTTGAGTTCAATTAAACAAACTTTAATTAAATTGCATTACTATATAGGATTGCAATTCATTTGAGTTCAATTAAACAAACTTTAATTAAATTGCATTACTATATAGAATTGCAATTCATTTGAGTTCAATTAAACAAACTTTAATTAAATTGCATTACTATATAGGATTATTGATGACATTTCTTGCAGAAATTTGTGTTTATTTCAGATCACAACAAGTCTATGTTAATCTGCTAAAATGTGAATGTGTATTTATAGTGTATCAGCGTGTGAAGCCATGCAGCATGCAGTCGTGTTTCGCACACAGGGTTTCACCGCGCTTTCATCATTACCGCGTGAAAGGTCATATGCTTCTGCGGCAAAATGAGACGTCAGTTCGCGGACGAGAATAGTCCTTTACAAAATGTAATCAAAGTGTTTTCTCTATATTGTACTAATGATATATAGCCAGGTGGAGTGCTATAATAAACCTTTAAATATACTAGTTTAGTTACTCCTACAAATACAAAAATAAGGACATACCATTAATGCGACGTGACTCGGCACTGGTTCTTCAACTTGCCGGACTTCAATTTCTTCTATCTCCATTATTCGCGTCGTCAAATGAACGGAGCTGTATCATGTACATTATTTTGAATGATTATACTGGCAATGCAGCAGCAGTCGACATCTCACGTGTACCGATATGCCTGCTCGAACGGTTTTACTTCCGGGTTATTTAACTCACTTCCGGATTGAGTTGAGGTCAGCTTGGAGTGTGTTGAAGGTATGGAGGACAGCTTGCTTGAGGTCGATCCAAGCTATAGAAGCGTTGTTTTAGACTGGTTCCCAGAGTTGTCATCTACAGAAATTGAAAATGACAATTCAAGGAATATCGAGAAATCCAAGAAGTCAAATCCTATAAGGTAGGTACACTCATTGGGGGCTATAATAACTTATGTTTGCAGTTTTCAGACAAAAGCAACCTTGAAAGTTGAGCAATCACTCGATTATGTACAGTGAAATGGCTGTTGTTGATAGATAAAAAACCGTAAGTGTTGTACCTACCAATTAATTGAAATATACCAAAGGCTGCTACCATGGCCAGTTTCTTATGAAATACAAAAATACACGTTAACATGTGTTGAAAGAGATATGTGAATTCTCTTCAAATACTGCCCTCAGCAGTTCAATTTAAATATTGCTATCTGCCCCAACCAGGTCTACCAACATAGCCGTATTACAAAATTTTTACCTAAGTGGCTGTGCACTACACCGGGTTTCATGAAGGCATGAATTTGTTTCATATATATTCAATTAACAATTGACAGATCGACCAATCACAATGTTTTACAGTAAATTGGCTAATGATTGAAAAAAAAACAAAAAAAAAACTTGCTGGTAATTGGCATTACCGCCACTGAAAGCATCTTCTCGGGAGTTAAATGCAGTGCAAGGGTATTTCAGAATGTATGTTTTATAAATATTTATAAATGTCCATAAAACAAATTTTTACGCCATCGCGAAACCTGGTGTAATTCCTCATATAACAAATGAAAAGTAAATTTATTTCCTTTTTTCCTTTGTTTATAAACTCAGAATAATTAAGTGAAATTGTACTTGATCTTTGGGCAAATGGCGTTTATACTTTTTGCAATAAAATAAATCTACCAACTATATAGGTCATGTGGTCAGCAAAACGATGAACAATCACAACCTATGCAATCAGTGATCACAGTAAAATCTAGAAACAGTTTGGAATCAGTTATTAGGAAGAAACTGAAAAAGAGAAAACAACATGAAGACAAACATGGTAGGTACAGAATTATAGGTCAATGTTTACATCATTGTCAAAACTAATCCTACATCACATACATGTACCTGACTCAGCAGTACATACACGAGCCTCAATGTAACCCACGTGTGATGATTTGACTCACTTGACTCGCACTACTCTGAGAAATAGCTCTCAGCTTACCTGGATTTTGGTGACCAATACTCACTTGACTCGCACTACTCTGAGAAATAGACTCTCGGCTTACATGGATTTGGTGACCAATTTTCACTTGACTCACACTATTCTGAGAAATACCTCAGATTACCTGGATTTGGTGACCAATACTCACTTGACTCGCACTACTCTGAGAAATACGCTCTCAGCTTACCTGGATTTGGTGACCAATACTCACTTGACTCACACTACTCTGAGAAATAGACTCAGCTTACATGGATTTGGTGACCAATACTCACTTGACTCACACTACTCTGAGAACAACATAACACATAAATGAGTTTTCTACTAAGATGTAATGTATAGCTTCATGTGGGTGAGTCTTACAGCAACACATGAATTTTGATCCGTGAAAATCTCAATATTGGAATGAAATCTTGTATCTTATTATATTGTTTGCAGAAGAAGTCCAGCAAACGAATACTGATGAGGATGAAGAGAGCAAAACTGCAATCGTTGCTAAGAAACAAAAGCTGCATGATTCATGGGAAGCAAGTACTGTAAAGAAAAAGAGAAGGAAAAGAATAGAAAAAGAGGAAGATTGAACACTGATGGAATTGATAAACAACAAAAAGATCAGAAAAGTTGTGGCCATAACCCAATAAGAATCTCTCACGAAGAAGAGAAAGGGAAAAAGTCTGGTGAGAACAACGATGCTTATAATAACATGAATGAAGAATTACAGAAGAAAAACAGGGATGACATTACTGAGAAAATGAAACACCAACAAAGATCAAATAAGAAGAAATTGAAAACAGACAAGAAAATTATTTCTAAACAGGTATGATATGCTAATGGTTTGTTTTTGTCTTCTGTATGCGAAACACACAAAGGGAGTCTTTGTGGTTACTCTGTATATGTGTGTAGAATATGTGTGAAAATATGTGTGTCAGTTCCACTGATATCTCTAGGACCAATTGTTTGATTTCAATGACAATTAGTAAATCTATGCATATTAATCACCTAGTTAATTTGCATTATTATTTTCAACTGAATGAATTTTGGTAAAAATGTCTAAATGTGACAATGGAAGCTATATGCTATATATCAACGTTGTATATTAAGTTACTTGCAAGTGAAAAAATATGGCCATGTGATTGTGTCCAGGTCTTCAGAGGGCATTGTCTATTGAAATCCAGTTTTGTCAAGCAATCCTTGGAATGACAAGCTAACAAAGACCCTGGGCAAAACCTCCCAATACATCACTGATGGTCTCTCCATTGAAGATTTTATGAGTCATTTCCAATAATAGTGTGTGTCACGCATCACAATTTTTTACAAACTTTATCACACAACCAATTTCAAAGAAATGGCAACTACTCAACTCTTAGTTTTTGCATCACATTTTATGTTACATTAGCCTAGTGTAGGCTTACTGTGCCCATGCATTTGTGTCTAAAACAAAATTTCAGTAAGATTTAGCGATCTTTATGTGGTTATATTTAAACAAAAAAATCAAAACGACATTACATAATCTTAGCTTCATTGGTTTGGGATTGGAATGTGTGCATATAAATTATTTATTTTGCTTAATAATTAGACAATTTTTAGATTTCTACTGATATCTCAAGACCAGTGGGATTGTCATCCAACTTACCTCTTCAAGAATTTCTATATCTATTTGCATACAATCAATGCAGCCAATACCGCATCAAGTTCTTTTTCAGCATTTATTTTTTTCTTTATTGGCACCTAAGAAATTCAGAATAAACATTGAATATTTTGTCTCTCTAGTTACTATTGAAGGACAAAGATTCATTTTTTTTCGTTTCTATTTTTTAGATGACATCGTCAAGAGGTTTCATTCTCTCCACTAAGACTTCTCAGGATGCTGTCACTTCAAGTCACTTGAACAAGACTAAAACTCAGAAGAAAAAACATAAGAAAGAGGAAACAAGTTTAAAGTCAACAAAACTTAGCGTGGAGAAGACGCACCAACTCACAAGGAAATTTAAGAGAAAAAGAAAATTTTTATTATTTAGAACAAGAGATTCTGGTAAAGCCCTCAAAACACATCAACAATCAGATAAACATACTAAAACAAAAGTGCATAGCAAAAAAAGGAAACATGTTGATTTAGTTGTACCATCTACTGGATTAACTAATCCATTACCAGACAAACAGTTGTCTAGGGGTGATACAGAACAACAAAAGTCTCGTACAAATGCACAACAACAACAACTATCAGTAGTGAATGACGTCCAGCAATCCAATTATCAACCGAAATGTAATGAAAGAATGAAACCAAAAAGAAAGAAAATTAGAAGTAAACTGAAGAACATCAGAAAAGACAACAGACCTGACCATCTTGTGAGTACAGATTTCTAATATGAATTTTGATAAACTTATTTAATAACAATTACTGTACACATGAATACAATTCAGTCATGCATAGCAAATTATTGAATTCATTAGAGCAAGATTGTAATAGGTGTGATATGTTTTATTTGCCATGACTGTGGAATGTCATGTAATTGATAAAATTCAAAAACTGTAATTTATTTCAATAATTTCTTTGTTTTTGTTACAGAAACCACCTCATCTGCGAGTAATCACTGAAACAAGATTTCCTGTTCTTGGAATCAAAGATTAACACATTCTGATAGACATTATTTATTGTTTACTTTTAGAGGATTTTTTGTATATTTGATTTTTTCTGCTGTCTAGCTCTTAAAAATAAACAATAAATTCTTGTATTATCGTTTTGTT